AACGCCACAATAAGAAACCGCTTGATGAAAATGATGATGATTAAATGATGATTAAATGATTTATCACACGAACTCCAGGTAATTTGTGTCGGACTATTAATAAATTGCAAGAATTTAGTGCAGCGAAATGTATAACAACGATCAGTGCGAATAAAAAAAGATAATTTAGCGAATGATCAGCCGCAATGAAAAAAACACGACTACTCAGGCATAGTGTTGCCAGACATATTGACATATTTTCATTTTGAATTAAACATTTGGTAATATTTCTACAGCTAACAAAACTAAGTAGTTAGGATATCATATACAGATCTCATTTATGGCCCGATCCTTACGAAATTTTGCATGGGGATAAGATGATGGTCAGACTAGAAACCTACTCTTTTTGGAGATGATCGCCATATATTTAGGGGTTGAAATGGACCAAAAAACTGCAAAATTGTCAGCAGGTCGTAATTATCGCCCGATCCTCACGCACATTTGAATGGGGGTTACCGGACATTGCAAAAGCCAAGCAGTTTCGGATGGCCATCCAAAAATATTCATTGTGTGAAATAGTTTGCCAACTTTTGTAGACAAAATACGAATATGTCCATTCCAGTGACTTTTTGGAGAATTCACAAATACAGGAAAGACGCACTTCCGACTATTTCGTTAACACTGATTTCGTTGAAGAATATAGTCAAATGTCTGTATCTCATATAGATGCGTTTCAGTCAAAAACCAATAATAAATGTTAATCTTTTGCCACTTCTGAGAGATTATAGGTCTTTGGGAAATATTGGTTCCAGATCCAGGAAGACCATTTAAGTACAACATCTACCAATAAATTGAAAATGAGCAAATTAGTTTAAGTTGCTATTATTCGAAAATTAGAGAACGAAACCTTTTCTTTTATTATTTGTCACAATATCTTATGGAATTCTTTCGAGTATCTCGCCTATATAAACTGTATCGTTTATTATAGTGTTGTAGGGTATTCAACGGTCGGCCCCGCTCGACTGTAGCCTTTGCTTACTTGTTTTCTTTTGGGTTTTCCATAGATTAAAGACATTTAACAGAACCCACTTTTAGGGTCTTCTGTGGATATTAGATATATCAAAGGTTTCCTAAAAATAAGCAAAGAAATCCGTTTAAAGGCCCTCTACACAGAAGATCTTTAAAATGGTCTTATCACACACAGAAGGCATTTAAATGGATTAAGATGGACAAAACATATTTAAAAGGTTTTCTGTGGTAAAACTTTTGTAGAAAATTAACCGGCGATATCCAAAACGGAAACGGACGGTAAAAAATTCGACGGCATTTTTATTTTGAAAAATTTCCAAGTTCCTTCCAAAAGGTGACCAGGCCGAATTTTGCTGTTTTTTACTTGTTATGTTTTGTTTTGCTTAACCGTTCCTATGAAATTAAACGCTTTCTCTCATGTTTGTTAACTCTCTGATTACATTGTTTTTAAATGGGTCTGATTATGAGTGTGAAGAGAATTGTGCTCAATGAAGTCACACGAGACTGTCTTGATTTAAATCACAAGATTCTTTATAACTTTAATTCATATGGAAAAATCCTTTTTTCTTTACAAAATTTCTATTAAATATTACGGGCCTTTTCTCTAATAAAACCAAATTTATTTTAATTTTTTATTTAGAAAAATTTCTTTGTATTCAAAGACAAAAAGTTTCAAAATCGATGGGAGTTTTTTGCATATGGATATGAAAAAAACAACCCATTTCAAATATGGATCTCCAATTTAACATTTACTTTATCGATGACATATAGAAACACGCTCCGTAGTTTATTGGTAAGACAATTGTCTTTGTCCCTCTGCCCCAATAACACTCGCCCTATATAAAGTATTGATACAATTGCTCTGCAAGAATCTACTGGTTTTGCAATTCTTGTCGATGCCAAAAAAATGAAAAATCGGTTATCGTAGTAAAATCTTTTACATTTTTGCAGTTCGGATTTATGTAAATCGGACAATTATCATGTATTTTACGAAATGTTGGTGCTACTGATTCTTTTTTTGAACCCTACCATATCGTTTGAGTTATTTTCCCTTTCTTTTCCTTCATTTTCTACCACTTATACCTAAGCCTTTTAATATTTTATGGGCATAAAAAAATAAGAACTTATTTTGAAGAACAGGTTTTCAACGTCCCGCTTTATAAACAAACGATTTCAAAACCAATTAACTCTATATAGCAGAACTTATATCTGATAATACGCCATGCGTTTGTTCTTTTGTATATATAAATATATTTCGATTAAAAGCCCCCATCCTGATAATTTTCTAGAAGAAAGCCAGAGAAATGAAAATGAAAATGGTGAAATAAAATGCAATAAATTGTGAATAAGATTTTCAATGAAAACAAAAAAAAAAACAAACTCTGTAAATAATCCTTTAAACAAACACTATTTTTGCTAAATATTTATAACAACAAAAAAGGCTCTTGGAAAAAGATGAAATATTTTTGCAAATAAAAAACAACAACTCACAACCCACATACATAGACTACTACACTTAGGTGTTTGAAAAGCCCTCCATTTCCTTGAAACTTGAATTGTTTGAAAATTACGTTTTGTTTGTATCAAATATTTAAAAAAACAAATGGCTTTTATGTGTTATGATTATGTAGTTAATAATACAACAACAATCACAATAAAACTATATATACATACATGCGATACATATATATATAATCAAATAAGAAATATGTAAACATATAAGCAATTAGTTGTTAAGCTTAAGCAAAGTACATATTATATATAATTAATATTACAAAAATCTCCCCCTCTCCCCATCCAAATACCCTTCGTGTATGATTCTTCGACCCCCCAGAACCCTTTGTGAAAACTAGTAGTACTCTTTACACACAAGAAAAGAAAACCACAACAATAATATTAATAAAAAAATACAAGTAAAAACAAAACAAAAAACATACAAAAAATTAAATAGTAATATTTAATATGGAAACAAAACCAAGTGTCTTAAACAAATGTAGCATTAGATTCTCGTATATATTATATAATATTAATTTATATTAAAAAACAAAAAACAAATATAATGAATAAAATACCACAACAAAACAACAACATAATTCACATAAATAAACAACAAAATATTAAGAAAAAATAAACTTATTACTTTTTTATTGTAGGATTGTTAAAAAAAATCTGGTTGGGATCCCAGTCTCTAAAAGTAACCTAATATAGCACCTTCTTTTTAACCCATATGACTGCCATTTGAAGCCAAATTCTTGCATTCGATGTCGATAGAACTCCAATCGAAATGCATTTCTGAGTGGCCATTACAGATTGATAAAAATGAAAATTTTCGTAAAGGCATCATCTTTAAGATTCGATATTTAAGCGTTTCTGCCGCAATTTTAAATCAATTTAAAAATTGGCGTATTAAAAATCATTATACCCTACACCACATAGTGGTAATGTTATTATGTCTTTGCGCATTTGTTTGTAACATGGAGAAAGAAGTGAGACAGACCCATAGTTACTTTTGAGGATAGTAAAGTTTACCAGGGGATAATGCAGGAAATACCTAGGTTTCGGAAAGAGCCACCAATCCTCATCAGTTCCCTTGTTTTTTGTCTGGGATATTCTCCCCAGAAGTTGTTTTAAAAATAACTTCTATGACAAAAAACATTTTTCATAGAATCACTTTCTGAGTCGATTTATGCATGTCTGTCCGTCCGTCTGTCTGTCCATTTATTATCCGATTGAGATGAAATTTTCCAAAAAATATTTGTTTGGCCCAAGGACAAACCCTATTGAAATTGGTGATTACCGGATCAGCTTTAGATATAACTCCCATATATATCTTCAGCCGATTTCGGGTAAATTATGCACCAAATGGCCAATATGCAGGGTGAGAAAAAAAATCGGCAACAAAGTCAAACGCCATAATTTATAAATTTTTTTTAATTTTATTGAATGAAAGCAGAAAATGTCGGAAATAGCCTCAAATTTTAGAATAAGTTCAGATTTGTTCGAAATTATCACCTTTGGGACGAATTTGGCACATTTTCAGCTGACCTCTTTGGCAAGTAAACACGATAATTTAGCTGGTCAACTATCCAGCAGGTTGTAAACCAGCTCATCGAAGAAAACCTGATTCGGCAGTTCACCACTTTCGGTCAGGCGAAGCAACTCTTTAGCTCTTTTAAGTCTATTTTCTTTCTGTTGCGGTGTAAGTTCTTGCACTTTTTGCAATTTCAATGGCTTTAACCCGAACTCTTTTTTCAATATTTGCCGAATGGAATATTGCCATATGTTCAGCTCACGAGTCATTTCGGTTCAGATATAACAATAGCTCTTATATATATGTTTCATCCGATTTGGTGTTTAAGTCCCTCACATTCGTAAGATGCATTCGACAATAATGATATTTTGTACCAGATATCTTATAGAGCTCGGAAATACATCTGCCAAATTTTATCAGGATTGGTTTAGATTTGCATATAGCTCCCATATATGTCCTTAATCCGATTTCTGGTTTACTTTGTGCAAATAATAATATAATAGAGTGAATATCAGGACGTACGTTTCCATTTTGTGGATAATCCTTCTCGAAGTGATATTAAGCACTCTATAACAATGTTTATTTGGTATAAAATATTAAAATGTATATGTTAAATTTAGTGAAAATCGATTCTGAATTGGATATGCCTCCCATATATTAGTCCCTCAAACCAAACTATAACTGCTCTAAAGCCAAATGCTCATGGGTAATAAAGTAGATCTTCAAACAAATTCTTTTGTTACGGGATCTCTACTAAATATGCATAGTGGTGTAGGGTATCATATAGTCGGCCACGCCCGACTTTTGACTTTTCCTTATTGGTTTTAAGAAGGGATATCAGTGTTCCTGATTACCACTGTAGACTACACAGACCTCCGAAAAACTCGTTCGAATTCGCGTTAAGAGTGAATGATCCAACCCATCCATCAAATTTATATCCGTCGAGTGAATACACCAACAATTATAAATATTCATATTTTTATTATTATTACCTTTAAAACTTTCGTAAACTAAATTCTTACAAAGAACATTGTATAAATTTGTCTTCTAATTCAACTAAATACTTTTAAAGCCGATTTGTTTTTTGGTTAAAGACTACAATTTCAAGGAACATGGGCAAGTTTACCACCCACATGCCAATTCTAACAGTAAATAAAAGAAAACAAGCGTAGGGATTAACTGAAAAAGTACACCGAGTCTAGGACATTGCGCAAATCGAAATCACCCTTTTGTGGCATCTGGCAAAGCACGCGATTAAGATTTCGTTTCGATAAATCTTCCGCTGAGTCGTCATTACTAAATTCTCTGCAAAAAGAAAAATATACATACAATGAATTTAATCAAAATCATACATAAAAAGAATTTAATCAACCTACCCTTCTCTAAAACTGTATTTTTCCTTTAAGAATTCCGATAAATCTTCCAAGATCGGTTGTGAGTGTAACGCCACAAACTGTTCTCGGCAGATGCGATTCAATTCGGGCACAGTACAGGCATGGGTCCAGAAGCAGTCATGCACCGAGACAAACGTGAGACCGGCACGTTCACAATGCAACGAAGTCAACATCATATGCGACGAATCCAATGAGTGGATAAAGTTCGGTGGAAAAGCATTCTTTTGTTTCATCACATTTGGTTTCTCATACATATCGGTTGCCATTGCTTCCGACACTCGTACATTGGCCTTAGGTATTTGCTTATTATCTTGACGATTGTAGGGTTGTACGACAGGCAGACCCAAAGGTGTTACCCATTCAACATTTCGACCACAAACACCGGAAATTAGACGGGCGCATTCTGTAAACCAATCTTGAATTTCACGTGTGGAGGTGAACATCTCACGTATACTTTCAAATGTTTTCGTTGTCAAATAAGTGGATGCCGGCCAGACCCAGTCTTTGGGGAAATCATCAATGTCCTTTAATTGACGGGCAATTTGTAGGCGTGCTCCATAACGGGTAACACCATAGACAGTGGTCATAACGGTTTGTTTTATAACTTTACGTTTTACAAAGCCATTGAGAGCCTCGGCCACATGCAAACCATTATCTGCATCACGTTTACGCGATTTTTCCACCAAAGCGGCCACAGCACTGTACACATCATTCGGTGTCTCGGAGGGAGCCAAATTTACACTTATAGCTCCAGCCTTGTCTCGTCCCAGCGCGGCATAATGCTGCAGACCATTACAGGAACCATCTTGGTGTATAGGAAATCGGCTCATGTATTCGGCAGGGTTGGGTGAACGATGGACCTTTGCAATTTCTATGCAACAGGCCAACGTTTGCCAGGGTTCATCGGATTTGGCCCACCATCTACGTCCGTTAAGAGGGTTATCAGCAGAATCCAAAATTTCCGGCATTACTTCTTCGGCGTAAAGTAAACGTTCTCTGACCGAGTCACGTTTCTTGAGACCAGTGAGATTTATGCAATGCAATTTCAGCCAACTGAAACCATCCACGCCCAATGGTTGGGGTTGGTCGAAAATGAGCATGGATCGAGCTAAATCTGAACCCAAGTGATTGAGATGGGGTGGTACAGGATATACTCGTCCTCTGAAGTCCATATTGTGGGGCAACCAGAAAACTTTGTCACGGAACTAAAAGAAGAACAAAAAAAGGAAGAAGTTGTTAAAGTGGTTCAAAATCTCTAGTTATAAAAAGAAAAAGTTAAAGAACCGCTCATACAAAAAACCTAAAAAAATTGTCACGAAATTTAAAAACAGAAATATTCCAATTTTGGTTTAAAAACATTTTAACAAATCGTTTCAGTGTAGCCATCTTCCAATTTGGATGCTGTAGAATTAGCAAAGTCACAACCCGTATATGGGTTTCTATCATATTCATGAACCTCTCTACTACAAGTTATTTGCGATTTACAACACTGGCAGTAAAACTCTCCACAATTACTTTGAGGCACTGATAAAATGCAACTCTCCAAAACCAATCGATGACTTCATTCGAAAATGAATACTGTTTCTACTTTACTCACATGATTAGCCAAAGATAGTCTATATAAGGTGTCACACCATAAACTATACATCTCAGCCTGTTTGCGCCTGTGGATCATTTTGTCTTTGAACAATTTAGCACGATCTGCATTCGATATGGAGACGTCATTTTTGGGTATTGATGGAAGGGCAGGCAATGAGCTGGGCGGTTGTGGAACATCGAGTTTTTCATCGCCACCGTTTTGAAAGACTTCTATGATGATGTCTAAAACCTACAAAGAACAGATTAGTCACTGAAAAATTCTACCCTTGACAATGATTGTAAACTTACATCGGTATTAACACGCCATGGTACACTAGCTAATTGATTAAGAGAATCTAAGGCAGGATATATATTTTGTGGATTCATGGAATTGATACGTTCCCATTGTTGTATAGCCTGTAATGGAAGAATATTTATTTTGGTCTATTTTCAAAATGGAAATCTAATCTCTCACCTGCAATGGTAAACGTATCAAATCGGATTTGTTTAATAAATAGCCACCATTGTGTGGAGTACTCCATGGTTGTGGTGGGCACAGCATTGGCACTAAATTTGAATCAAATGTCAGGGTTTGTTGACGAGAAGCTCGCAGCAATCTAATTGCAATTAAAAAAAAAAACAACAAATTTCTTATGCTCAAAGAACAAAAAATGAAATAAAATACCTTGCCAAAACAGGATGTGGTTTAACTTCCTCCTTGACCAGACGTCCTTGATTTCGAAACAATGTATAAAAAGCTGGGAGTAAATTTTGCTGATTGGTCTTTTGGTTTTGGCGCATACAAAACGAATCGATTTTTATGTCTCGCATTAATATGTTGTACAGGAAACGACCGACTCCGGTGAGAACGTTTGTTGGCCATGCCACTTCTCGAATGTCCATACTTGGACCAGTGGCACGTTCTTTGTGTACCAAACGTTGCCACATTTGACGGGTATTATCGTTGCTGTTGGCATGATCCCAGATATCACAGTATGAACTATAGATGTCACCTACCTTTTCCAATATACCATTCTTCTTTTTCTGTTCTATTTGGAAACTAAAAAACAAAATTGCAATTTAAAGTCTATTTGCCAAGAGTCTCTCTTTGCGTGTTTTACTTACCGCTGTTGTACTTTTTGACCCAACTCTTTATACAATTGGCCTACAGTGGGGCTAAATGTCTCTGAACCCTCGGCCAGTTTGTATATTTCGCGTATTAAAATATCCGCATATTGAGAACTGTCCAGGGTATTCAAATAGGTGTAATAGTTCATATATCCATTGGGTTTATATCGTACTTGGGCTTTTAGCGTATTCAAATCACGAGCAATGGCACTGCAAATTTGACTACGCCACTGTGTTTCCATCTCCTTCAGTTTCTCGCGCTATAAAACAAAGTTTTAGATTTTAATTTCAAATAATTCATTCATACATTTTATACTTACACAAAAATCTGTGTTGTCAAACTCTTTGGTCTTTTCTATGGATTTGATTGTAATACTGCCTTCAAGCTCAATTCTCAATTGTTCTCGGGCCATTTCTTCCAGTTGCTCCTTACTGTAACCCAACTTGGAATTCATTATTTCTGAACCAGGAACTTTTTGCTGCGAATTTGTATTAACCGCCATATCATGGGTGGGATGAATTTGGTCATTAAAATTATTTAAAAGATTGTTGTTGTATTCTAAAACCGGTGGAGTATAAACAGGCTGGAAATCGGGCAGAACTCTCTGTATGGCATCTAAGGCAATATCACGTTGATCAGCTATAAAATAAGATTTATCCATAATTTCGCTTAAAGTAAAACCCATTTGTTCGGCCTTTTTGATGGCTTTTCGTATGTTCAATATATTTGCTTCGGATGCTTCGAGACGGCCAAGACACTCAAATATAGCAGCAAAGGTTTGAGTATTGAATTGTAAGCCATCCTCTCCGATTAATTGGAATATATCACGAAACCTTTCAAAATTGCCCTTTTCAGCGTAGCCGTGCAAAAGAATGTTGTACAAATCGATGGTTATTAAGCTATTCGCAGAGTTATTCTTCAACGCCTTTTGACGATAGGTTAAGAGCGTAGACAAGGCGCGGTTGAGTAGACCCACAGACACACATACATTCAAATACGTGTTGAGATTTAGGCGCAGGGCACGTTCCTTTGCCAAACGTTCTTGAGTTTCATTTAAATGGATCTTTGACTTGAATCTAGAAGAGAAGTATGCTGTTCAAAGTTGCATAAAATTCTTGTCATCTTCAATTTTACCTTGGCTTTGACTTCTGTGTTACACTTGCTGATTTGCTTTCTTTCGTTGATCCGTCTATGATATCAGGATGTACATACGGCTCTGATGAATCCAATGGATCGATAACCTCTTCGGGTAATGCATGTTTTGGTGCATTTAGACTAAAAGGAATTCATCAAAAATAACTGTAGACATTTAAGGAACACTAACATACCTAAAGCTTTCATGGTCCATATGCTCTTGTTCCAAACTTTCAATGATATCCCTAAAATTCTGGAAAGACTTTGTAATCCGATCAATCTGTTCTGGATTTGTAAGTATCCTCTTCGTTACTAAATCCTCATCTTCTTTGCCAAAAAATATCATCGGTTTGTCATCATAACTTCCAGCTTCCAAAAGAGATGTGTCCAGTACTTCCATATTGATTTTTTGATATTCGATGGGTTGCATCGTTAAAGCTGCTTTAGATTTGTTCTTCTTCCTGGCACCTTCTTCAGTGGCCAACTTTTGTTTTTTATTGACAATTTTCTTGATGAGTTCCTGTTGCGTTTTTGCAACGAAATCTTGTAGTTTCTTGGCTCGCAGGCGTTGCACTTTCGATTTGCGGACATTGGCTGCGCCATCAGTCACTAGAAGAGAAATAAAAGAAGTATTAATTCAGATATGTACAAAAGTAAATAAATTAATACGCCATACCCTCCAATAGTTCAACATATTTCGAATAACGCAATTTACGTTTTTTCTTCTTCTTCTTTTCTAATGCCTCGAGATTTGTTGGTGTAGTTGATTGTTTACGCACAGTTGTTGTGGCTCCAATTATAGCATTTTCTGAAATGAACCACATTCCATAATACGCTTATTCCGGTCTTGCTATTAACCATTACTTACTCTGTCCGGTAGTACTTGTGCTCGTCTCATGGATTGCTGTTGTTAAAATCTTCGGACTAACATTGTTCTGCTGCAAGTGGGAATACACTACCCGAGGAGTTTCTAGCTTAGCAATATTCTGTCTGGATGCTGACAAACAAATCCTTTGTCCCTCCTGCTGTTGTTGCCTGCAAGTCAATCCCACAAACGTCCGTTCAATTGCCGCATGCTTTCGCCCATACAGAGCCAATCTACAATTTTCCACAGCAACCCGATTAACCGTTAATAAACGATACATTTTTATCCAATCGTTGGAAATTTGGTCAAGAATTTAGTTTTATAATTTTTTATTGCCATTAATTAATGATTATAAGTTAATTTTTTTAATTTTTCGTTTAATTTTCTTGCATAACTGCGTTTTTTTAAAAGGAGTTTTGACAACTAATGCTTCCAATGCTGCTCACATGGAAAATAACAAATGTCAAAGTTAGGGATTTGTATATCGTTCTTGGGCCTCTATTAAACAGCTGATATAAATAGGGGCGGAACGATTTTTTGACCGCGGCGGCAAATCACGTGTAAACCAATCGGCGGCGTCACGCTGTGCTGTCTGTGTACTCTGTACAAAGAGTTGCGAATGAAAGAAAAGGCAACACACCGAATGTATAGAAAGTGGAAGAGGCAAAACGCCGTAAAAACAGTTTGTTCATCTGAGGAAAAGAAGTATGCGTTCACTGAAAGAACCAAGGGACGAGTGCCGTTTACATTATTCACTGGAGTAACTGCGATAATTTAAATAACTTTGGTTAATAATTCACATGAAGAAAATATTCATTGTTTCCAATGAAAAAGAGAGTCTACCAGATTTAACGATAGTAATTTATTTCTATTAATTACTCTTTAATAACTATTTTTTTATTCTTAAGATGTGGTACGTGGTTTTTAATAACTTTTAACGAATTATTCAATTTCATTCAATTTTTAATTTTTCATTCTGTTGATGCGACATGAAAACCAAGCAAATGGTAAATTAGGTTTTTATAAATCGTTCTTGAACCTCCATTAAAAAAGGTAATAAAAAACATATTTAGATGTTTTCCAGATGTTAGGGGTGTTTGCATCTCGATATTGTTAAGGGAATATAACTGCTTTTTCGAATCTTTCCGAAATCATAAGTATTTTAGATAAAGGTGTAAATACATAAAGCGCTTATGTGGCTGGCTTCTTCGGAAATGAATAAAGCAGCGTAGGGCCAAAATCGAACTAAGTCAACCTTAAACTCTTTTGTCGATCTACGAAGAAGCCAGCCGATGACTTAAGCCAGCCAAAAATGCGCTTTATGTATTTCCACCCTAAGGCTTTGTTTGCACTTGGGCTCCGAATAACGTAGGGAATAATGTTGTATTTTTGCTCATCAATGTGAACATTAATGTTTCAACATCAATTGTCCCTATATTATTTGTTAATCCATGGTAGAACATACAGAACTGCCAAACCAATTTTGGAATTGAGCTTTTGAATGAAAAACTATTCAAATTTGTAAAAATTGTTAAAAAATGCTTATCACAACAATCTCTGATTGGTGTCGTGTAGGAAACATTTAAAATTTTTGGACATATCAAATTATCACATCAAATTTTTGACAAACCATTGTATACACAGAAATCCGAGTTGGAAATCTGTTTTTTATTCAGTGAAATTTGACAAGGTAAATTACAGAACATGCAGAGATGGATACGCTTATTTGAAATGATTTAACCCTCTTTATTTTATCATGCCTGTTATTTTGGTTTTCAGCAATATTCATTATTTTTTTATTATTATTATTTCATCGTAAAGCCAAACATGTTCTACCACTTTTGTACATTTTCCGAAAAAGTTGCAAAATGTGCACTTCTCTTCAAACAAAAAATGGCACTCTCTTCTTCAATTTGAATGTTCTCTTTAGTAACTTTAACTTTTATAATTGCACCATGTACAAAAATAATTATTTGTGTCAAATGTCTATGGCACGGTGATTGATAACTTGATATCACTTCGCTTCTTCATTATGTTGTTTGTACAGGGTAATACAAAAAGAAGCCGACAAAACTATCTGCAATATAAAAAAAATTTAAAATATTTTTAAATAATATTTAGTTTTTGATTACAGCTATGAAAAGGAAATAATATATTTTAATATTTCATTTCTTAGAGGTGAAAATATAACTTGAGCAACACTTCCGTTCGATGCAACTTTCACGAAAGCAGGTGTGTTGCTGTAATCATTTCTAGATACCAATCGATCACAAATTCTATTTTTCATTCTGCAGCGTCGTCTTAAACTTGACGATGATGAATTTCCTTTTATTTCAAATTCCTACTAATTTGTTGTTGGACTTTTTACTCCATTCGTAAAAAGTCTGGTGCGTTTATAGATTCTTTTATTTTTAGATGACATGTTGCTGAAGACGAATTATCATTTCTCCTCATGTCAGAAAAAACACAAATGGATGAACTCCCACATTTTTTTAGCTTGTAGATCACATAGAAAATGCACACACAACGGTGTGTATGAGAGAGAGAGGGAGAGCGATTGTGTGTGTGCAAGTATGTCCATCATTGATGCTGCTGCTGGTTGCAAGTTTACTATAACTGAAATGCATTGTTGTTTCCACTGCAAGCAATAAAATCCGGCAAATGCAGATTCTACTTCCCCCATTTGTTTAAAACAAAAGACAAACATCTACTCCTACCACAGCAAAATAATAATAAAAAATCTTTGAGAATCTCACGAAGGGATACACAAATACTATCGAACCATACTCGGCTATAAGCTACAGCTTTGCAAAAGATCTCTTAAATACGAAGAACATTTTGAAAAATATTTCATTCGTATTTGAGTTTTGGTGCCGTTGAGTTGAAACAAGAACATTTCAGTTTTGAATCTTGATAAGAAGAAAAAGACAATATTCTCGCTCGCGAATAGTGAATTGAAAAAAAAGAGATCAAGTAAGATTCAGTTATGTTCATTAGAATAGAAAAAAATATAAAAGAAAATAAATATTTGAAGCCAGTGAAAAAAATAACAATATTTTTAAATAAAGTGACAGAACTTTTATATTTTCCTCAGTTATTTCCTTTTTTGTAAAATAATTTTTGTGAAATTCTTGAAAAAATAATAAAAAGAAGAGAACCGACAACTAGCACAATTTATTAATCTTTGACCTAGTTCGGCTATTCCATAGAAAAACTCACACGACAAATACGCTTTTTTGCAATTATTTACTTATCACCAAGGTATTTCATTAAAATTGAAAATTTCTCTTAATTATGAAGCACACAAATGCCTTCATGTGTTTATAAAAAAAAAAAACTTTTTCAAAACTTGTAAATGAATTGTAAATTTGTAGATAACATTAAAATGTCCAATACTTTAATAACGGAATCACAATTTGCCAAATGTGCTTTCTTCATTCATTCGTTAATGATTTTTCTTATCGACAATGTTTAGAAATTCAAAACCATAAGCAAAAAAATAATAATAATTTTTTTTAAACAATTGAAAGCATTTAGTTTATCGCTATTTATACTAGCACAATTTATTATTACACAATTGTGGAAGCAAAAAGCAATCACTTTTGCAACAACAAAAAAAAAAAAACAGCCGCTAAGAGATTGCGATTCCCAGGAAACTCACAAGCTGTAATTAATAGAAGGAATCAGTCGCATATGTAAATTTTGAAATGTTAGTTGGAAGAAAATAAGAAAATTTAAATATATAGCTAAATAATTAAAACGAATCTGTTGAAACGCAGCAATAGTGTAAAAATTGTTACCAGTTGTACAAAATTACGCCTTTTATCTGACTTGTGTCCATGGTAAAAGAATACAAGTCGATCATCAACACTTGGGAACATTGATATGTCAAAAAAAAGTAGCAAGTAAAAAAGCTGTAAGTTCGTCCGGCCCGATCTTTGAATACACTTCACCATTTGGAACGATTTTTGAAATTTTCAAAAAAAAAATCAGTTAAAAATTCTGTTAAAATCTTCAAAATACCGAATGTAGCCGTTATATTAGGGTCTACAATGGTAATGGCTTTGTTATAACCCTGCAGCACAATACTCAAACCATTACAATAAGGTAGCTAAAACCATCAAAATACCGAATATCGGGGGTGCCGTTATATAGGGGCTATACGTGGACCTGCACAGACAATTTTTGGTCATAGGTACCCATTACGAACTTCAAATACCAAATTTGAAACATTTCCGGTAAATAATGTCCCTTGAATCTCCAAAATACCGAAAAAAGTGAGGTACCATTATATGGGGGCTATACCAAAACGTGGACCTACATCACCCAATTTCAATACGAAAAGTCCTGCAGACATAATACACATTTGAGTAAAATTTTATCAACCTACTTCATTTCGTTCGGAAGCTAGAGTGATTTCCACAGACGGACGGACATCGCTAAATCGATCGATCGAGAATTTTATGCTGATCAATATATCCTTTTTGGAGTCTAAAATGTATGTTTTGAGGTGTTACAAACGGATTGACAAACTTAATATACCATCCCTACTATGATATGATATGACTACAATGCAAATTTTTGATAGCAAAAAATATCAGTCATATGTAAAATGGCAGTTTTGATATACACACGGAAAAACAAATGGATAATAAAAGTGAAGGCACATATGTGAAACCCATGGTAGAATTAGTCATACCACCAGATGATTACAATTTTTTCAATATTATTCATTTGATAATATCTCATTGTCAAAGTTTATATTTAAAAATTCATTGTATAGACGAAAATTAGGGATGGGAACCTGTTTTCTATGTAGTGAAATTTGACAAGGTAGAAAATCTAGAGATGGGAATGCTTATTTAAAATGACTTTACCATCTTAATTTTACCAAGGTAAAACCGCTAAGTTGAGAATATATTAAACCCTTTTTTCATTGGCTGGTTTCTTGTGAAAATAACAATGGAGCGTAGGGCCAAAATCGAAATAAGTCAATCTAAGACTCATTTGTTCTTCTACGAAGAAGCCCGCGGGTGACTTAGGCTGGAAATACATAAAGCGCATATTTGGCTGGCTTAAGTCCTCGGCTGGCTTCTTCGTAAATGAACAAAGGAGACTAGGGCCAAAATCGAACTATGTCAACCTAAAACTCCTTTGTTCATCTACGAAGAAGCCAGCCGATGACTTAAGCCAGCCAAATATGCGCTTTATGTATTTCCAGCCTTAAGCCAGTCAAAAAAGCGTTTTATCGTCTGATAGCAACTTAACAGACAACACCATTGTTAAAATTATATTTTTCGATGCAAATAGGGATCGCTGTGATCGAAAAAGATCATATGAACTTTATTGTATCTACCAAGGTACAATTATATAAAGGTAACCTCATTTCAAATTAGCATTCCCAGCTCTGCATTTTCTGTAATTTACCTTATCAAATTTCAGTGCATAAAAAACAGTTCCATCTCTGATTTTGTGTGTATACAATGGATTTATGAATATAGACAATTGGATGTTGTCAAATGTGTAAATTTGAAAAAAATTCTATACATATGATTACATCACATTACCTTCTTAGTTCTACCATGATATCCACGTACAATATGGAAAATTTGGCATTACATATGTAAAACATTTCGTCTGATAGAGCCTTAAAGTACCTTTAAGGTGTGGGTACATAAACAACTTAGCATCATAGCTAGTCAAATTTTAAAGCGAAACGACTATAGAATTCGAGTGAGGTCCTGGCTTTAGACTAACGAAAGCCACACTATATCAAATATCAATTCCATACCGCATATGTCAAACAATATTCGCTGGATTTATGAATACGATTTATGTGACGTATACGCTATTCAAAAGGAACAACATCTTTATTATTGAACCTTGAAAAATATTAATGAGCATGTTTATTTACACTTCATTGACGTGAAATACAAACAGACATAATATTTTAATATCCATGTAATATATAATAGGATTTTATTATAACAAAAATATAAACAATGAACAAATGTTATAAACAAAAAACAGGTTTTGAGTACATCCGGGTAAAGCATTTTAAAAGAAGATCCAGATGCCATGAAAAATAGATGCATATATGTTAAAATGCTTAAGAATAATGTATTAGAGTGTTTATAAATATGACAGATATATTTTATATGGGAAGACGTGTTTACTGATCACAGGAAATGTGGCAGCAAATGTAATGTTCCCATTCAAGATCTACATTATCATGAGGTTTTTGACGTAAAATGATCAAATAGATCATGATAGTTCAGTTCTCATGATAGATAATGTAGACATAGTCTATCATTTTATTTATGACATAGGCTGATATGAACATGGTATTAAAAAGTAAAGTCAATCAACCGATTCTTAAGCCACACTAGAATACTGCCGTCGTTTTTCCTTATATATTGACATTAATATGCCCAGCTATGATGCCATGCTGTTTATGTACCAACACCTTTATACTTGCGAATTAGTTTTAAGCTTAATATTGAAATAAACCAATAAATCACTAGCATATTTAACTGTTTAATTTAAACAAAGCCTAATGGCGCTCGACTTCAAATGCAATTCCATAACGTATACGTCACGTATTATTTGGCGTGTACGCCATGGTATTTACATTTGAGGTTTGAATGGATTTTGTAGATCTAAACGTACTTTAAGGCTACTTTTCCATTAGAGTTCATTGCAGTTTATAACATTTCCTTCTCATTTCAATTTTATAAGTATAATGTGAATACGTACCTTGTTACTAATAAAGCAATATCTAAAATGATTATTTTAAATAAACATCTCTAAAATTCAAATGTTTATTTATTTCATGCAATCAATATTTATTATTTTAATAAACAATAAAAAATTTATTCCAAAGGCATGTTGGAGAAAACGGATTGAAATTCCACTTTAACAAAGGCATTGCAATCTTTGTTATTTGTTTTCTCTCTCTCTTTTTTTTTTTTTTTTTTGAATGCAAAATAAAGAAAACCATTTCTACAAGCAGCAATGACCACAAATGATGCACTAGTTACACAAATACAAATATATAAATACGTACATATGGCCGATTGTATGGAAATACATTTCTATATAAACAAATAGACATGCACATTCATAAATCTATGTTTGCGCGTATTTAGAATAAATGTTTTTGGCATAACATTTTGCCAAAAACCAGAACGGCTATTAAAAACTATTGATGTAATGTGTGTGTGAACGTTCTTCTGCTCCAGTTTTGTGGTAATCCACAAAATGAGGATATGTCTTTTTTTTTTTTTTTTTTTTTGATTTATTGACGCACACTAAAAATAATAATAAATTGGGGAAAAAAGTCAATTAAATATAGATTTAAGACATCATTCAATTGTTACTTAATTAACGCCAACTATACGTTCTCTTTTCTTCCCAGAGCATATATTGAATTGTGTGCTGCAGCTATAAGATTGGAACAGCATAACGATCATGGGGCGACAAGTAATAAGAATATTGCTATTGACCAGCATTGCAATGACATTTGTGCAACGGGCACCAGCGGAAGTCACGTAAGTTCGATTGCACACTTTGAAAATTTCTTAAAGCCGGTAATTGTTACAGTTGAAGGCGTGAAACCAATATTACATAAATAGAAGGTTTAATACATGATAATCTCATGCTATCATACGAATACATTTTTTCTTTTATGTACCTTCATTGTCAAATTTAAATTTTGTAATTCTTCCTTGAATGTGGGCGTACAGCTGGAAAGAATTTTGCATTTATTTCAGACCAAATATTTTGTTATTTTCACGCCTTTTAGAGGATATAAAAGACAAGGATGGTTATATTCTAAAACAGAAAAATTAAAAAAAAACAATATCGCTCCTTGTTTTCTACAATAATAGTAAAAGATTGTCATCTCTCATTTTTAGTAGAATTTACAAGAAATTGTCAGTTTAAGTTTTCGCTGGTAATTCTGGGCATTTGATCCTTAAAGGCAGACCTAAAATTACACCTTATTCGAGAAAGAATCATCAGCTTGGCGACATTTGTTAAGCTGGGAATACATAAAGCGCTTATTTGACTGGCTTAAGTCATCGACAAAGCAGCCTAGGTCCAAAATCGAACTAGGTCAACCTAAAACTCCTTTGTTCATCTACGAAGAAGCCAGCCAAATATGCTCTTTATGTATTTCCAGCTGAACCCCATGGCAGAAGAATACAGGTAGATGCATCAACGCTTGGGAGCATTGGTATGTAAAAAAAATGTATATGTTTTTTCAAATATAAGTAGATTTTTTATGCTTTCTTATACTACGTCATTCGGAGGCTATTATAATTCGCGTTTTCAACAATTTTTACAAATTTAAATAATTTTTCATTCAACATTTTCAATCCCAAAATTGGTTTGACAGTTCATTGTCCAAGCAGCTGTGTCGACGCGTCTACCTATATATATGGTTAACCCTATGGATTCATCGATGGTGGGAAAGTAAGGTAGCCGCATCGACACAGCCGCTGGGACAATGAAATGTCAAACCGATTTTGAAATTGAAAATTTTAAATGAAACATTTTTCAAATTTGTAGAAATTTAAAAAAGTGGATATCTTAGCAACCTCCCTTTGGCGTCGTATAGAAAACATATACAAATCTATTTATTTTGGAAAAAAAATAAAACTTTTTGACATATAGAATTTCCTAAGCGTTGATGAATCTCTCTGTATTCTTATATCATGCGTTCATCCACACACAAGTTTATTAGACACAGTGAAGTACTGGTTTTTACATATGTAATTTCAAATTTTCCACATGTAGAAGTTGCACATATCGTGTAATACACATGGACGACACACGTACTTTTTCGATCACAGCGAGCCCTATTTTCATCCGAAAATATAATTAAATCATAAGACTTGTTTGTTTGTTGTGTGAAAATAAAATACACACGGATAATAAACCCATGGTACAATTAAGAATTCAAAGTCACTTCAGATAACAATTTCATCTCTGCTTTTTCTGTAATTTACCTTGTCGAGTTTCTCTGAATAAAAAAGAATATTCCCATCTATGTGAAAACAATGGATACATAAATATAAATTTTGGACAATGAGATGTTGTCAAACGAAAAATTTTGATAAATGTTTAAGCACATGATTGCATGACTTTACCTTCTTAATTCTACCGTGGTTAAACCCATTCCGTCTAAAAATGCCCTTAGGAAAATCGACAGTTTACTAAAAAGACAGTTTACACAAATAGCTTTGACATGTGCATTTATAATCCGGTTTTGGTGTATTTTCTTTGTGAGGGTTTATTCAATTAATCATGGTAGAAGAATCCAGCTAGATGCATTAACGCTTGGGAACATAGATATGTCATTTTTTTTTCAAATATAAGTAGAATTTTATAAGTTTTCATATACGACGTCAATAGGAGGTTATTATAATATGCGTTTCTAGAGAATTTTTACAAAAATGAATAATTTTTCATAAAAAAATTTTGACAGCTCATTGTCCCGTCACCTGTGTTGATGCTTCTTGCTTACACTTTTATATTGAAGCACTTGACACAATAATTATCACGCTATTCATCTTTAGTATAATTTTTCTTTGAGTGTACTCTCATTATGTTGCCGGCACTCTAATGGATGCGTCGTGGGCATAGCTAATGGATCTAATGGATAGTCAGTCTTCTTTAAATAAACTTACATTTATGAATGCACTTTATGAAGAACTGAATGAAAAGTGTTTTTGTATTTTTATTGAAGAATTTTTCCATCCAAACATGCAAACACACACACATCGGCAATATCATTATTATGAAGGGTGGCGTTTAGATTTGAAACGCTATTATATTTCGTTACATCATAGCGCCATTTCCGTGCAATGCACCAGCTAGAAAATGCAATAGGGGCATGATCCATCATCATCATCGCCACCATGCCATTGATATATTTATTTACATAATTATTTGTATACATTATTCTTCGTCTTCTTATTACCATATGGAGTCTTAGGAATTTAAAGGGCCTTACGCACATGCCAGCCAGAGATCACGAAAGAGGCGCAGGAATACAGATAGATGGACTGATGAACTAGGCAGGCTGGTAGTCATTCATTCAAGAATAAAACCCATTGCATTGTATAGTCTGTAAACAATTAAAAAACACACACACGCACATCATTCTTCGCCGACGAGGAGGGGGAGTTAATTGCAATAAAACAAATGCATCAAATATAAGTTTTTTTTTATTTTGCTGGTACGGAAATACATAGTTAATGTTTCTTCTATCAATAGTAATACGTTGTCTTCTTCTTTTGATACACATTTATCATTTTCCTGTTCTGTGCCTGCTTTAGTTTAAATAGGGAACACAGAAAGTGTCATGAAGTTGACAAGAATGTTGTTGTTTTTATTTTTAGTATCAACATTTGATGCAGCCATCATGTAAATAAGCAGAAGGTGGACTAAGTAGGGGGAGAGTAAGGGGGATCTTGTTCTTTCATGACCATGTTGATTATGTTCAACAAAGTGTTGACATGTTAATGGTTTTTGTCATTAGGAAACTGTAATAAACATGGACATAAAAGCTTTGGAAGAAATAATAAAAATTATGAATGTTAAATTGTTGATTAATTGCCATGAATGGAAAGAAAATCTTTATTAAAGAAATTTTCCCATTGTTAAGAAGACGAAATAAGGCAAAATATTATTAACTTCCATGGTACAATGAAGAGAAGGTAGGTCAACTTTGAAAAAATTGCAAGTATAGAGGTCTACCTGTTTGGCTTGTAATGTCAGAATTGCTATCAAAACAATAAAAAAGCAAACAACTTGTTGCATTGATTTTGAATAAATAATTTAAAACCGCGAAAACTGAATAAAAGGCCAACATTTCTTTTCAAAATCATGTTCTATATATCTCTTATGGTTTATTTCGCGACAAAAACTGTAGACTTTGTCGATGCATACGTTGCAATAAGCATTTTAAAAACACCCGCATTTGAATATTTTGTGAACAATTTTTTTATTATTGAAAAGAAGACACACACATAAGCAAATGAAGTTGACATATTAAGCCAGAAAAATAAAAAAAAATTGAAATCATATGGTTCATTGTACCTGTTTACTTCCATCTTTTGGAACGAATTTTGATATTTGTTACTTTTCCAGTAAGATTTACACAGTTTATACGGCACTGGATTTAGAAAATCCTTGTGCATTTAAAGTGTCACTTTCATAAGGCATAAGGTTTCGGCTAGCTTCTTCGTAGAGGAACAAAGGAGTTTTAGGTTGACTTAGTTCGATTTTTGCCCTACGCCCCTTTGTTCTTTTCCAAAGAAGCCAGCTGATGACTTAAGCCAGTCAAAAAAGCATGTTATGTATTCTCACCTTTATTGCATTTCAATTAATCTACTTCCTTTTTTGCAGCATGGGAGATATCCGTGGCACACTGCAGTCCCTGATCTATTCATACAATCAATTAGATAATAAACTGGAAAGACATGAACATCGAGAACGTGCCTTGGGTGAATTGCTAAAGAAGGGTGTGATGCAGTTGCAAAAAGGACAAAATAATTTGCAACCATTAAATGGGATATTTTCACGTTTAGATGAAAGAGTTAGCCAAATTGAAACTTTACTAATAGCGGTAGGTTGCACATAATCACAAATTTCTTTATGTATTTAAGTAATTTCCAACACTTTGCAGCAAGAAGAAAAATACAATGTTCAGACGGAAAAAATGAGTGAAGCACTGCAGCGGATATTCAAATGGATGCAAGAAAATGATGAATGCTATAAACGTCCACCGGCCTTACCGGTTGCCGCAACAACGGCACCTAAGCCAATAGAACCTTCCTTAGCCCCTGCCTTTGTTAAGTCCCAAGAAGAGTTCAATAAGAAAACAACAAGCGACATTGAAAAACTCTCCTCGAATGTGGCCAAACTTTTGGATCTGTCACAAAATGTCATGGAACAAACTGAGGTGGTGTTCAAGAGCAGTCCGGCCACACAAGATATGTTATCGAAAATTGAAGATCGTCTTGTCAGCTATAGTGTTGTAACACCAGCCCCACCACCACCGGCACCAATTATTGTCCAGGCTCCCAATAACACAGAATTTGAAAATAAAATTGTCCACATGCTGGAAGGTGTTTACACTGGATTGACAGAACTTAAAGAAATGCCAAAATCTGTTGCCGAGGGACTTACGACGGCCGATAGAGAGTTCTTACAGGCTATGAACAATGAAACGTTGAGTGTTTTGGAAAATATCAAAGCAAATACTTTGGAAGCAAGTGATAAAGGTAAGATGGAATGGGCTGTTAAAATAAAGTAGATGGGATTTTATTTAGGGTTAATGAAAATATGAAGTAAAAACTTTTTTATTGGATCTAAATTACGGTAAAAAGTTCGATGATGGCTTTTTTGACAAAAAATTTGAGAAAAAAATTGTTTATTTCATCATTAAAGTTATTACCACAAATACTCCAGTGTAAACGTAGCATCACAGAAAAAACATATGCTTAAAGAATGTTTACATATACGCAACCCGATGGAATAATCTGCCAATTGTATTGTGTATTCGTGGATTTCATTTGACGTTTACCCAATGGTATTGACAGTTGGAATCCAATGGGATTCGTTTTCGAATATATTGTAAAACAATAACGTCATTTTTAAAAGTTCTATCAGACGGAATGCATATATGTCATATGTCAAACAAATTTTGGAATTGAAAATGTTGAATGAAAAATTATTTAAATTTGTAAAAAATGTTGAAAAACGTGAATTATAATAACCTCCGAATGCCGTCTTATACGAAAACATATAAAAATCTACTTATGTTTTGAAAAAAACATTTAAATTTTTTTGACATATCAATGCTCCCAAGCGTTGATGCATCTACCTGTATTCTTCTGCCATGGGTGCAAGTACATAAAGAGCTTCTTTTAATGGCTGGCTTCTTCGTAAAAGAGCAAAGGAGTTCTAGGTTGTCTTAGTTCGATTTCGGCCAATTATATTTACTTGTACTTGCACCTTAAGAATTTTGCCGTATGGCAGATGTCGATTAAGGCGCTATCAGACGATACATATTTACATATATAATGTAAAATTTTCCCAATGTAGAAGTTAAATGGGCACCATTAAATATCATTAAATTTTCCTAACGATGACTAAAGCCCGCCAAAAAGAGCATTTTTGTATACTTAACTTTTAAGGTGTGGGTACCTATGTAGCTTGAAATCTTCGCATGACATATCATAGAGGGATGCCACAGCCGCACTCGAATCCTGGCGTCCTTTTTTGTTTCTTATAATTTGGCATTAATATGCTAGCCATAATACCAAGCTGTACCCACACCTTTAAATTAGAAATTTTTAAACTTTAATTTAATTAATCATCTGAAAACGCATACTGCAGAAAATGTTTTTCAACAATCCAATTGCGTGTTTGAAAATTTCCCGCGACTTGAGAAAATAAAGAAATAATTGTCAAAATATTTGGTTAGGTAAAAAATTCTAGCATGCTATATTTTTCACAAATTCCATTGTGTTACCTTGCCACTTTATTTAAGTTATGTGGGCATGTGTGAGAACAGCATACTTTTAGGCGCAAAATTTACTATTCCACAGGAAATAATTGTTCCACTTATAAGGTCTCCTTTGGGGTTTTGAAGAGCATATCAATATCATAAAGGAATGGCCCAGTGTGTTAAAATAACTTATTTTCCATTTAGAAAACCTTTAAGGAAATCATGTAATAATATGTCTTTAATCTTTTTCGTTACAGTCATAACAAAGACCGCCGAGAACATACAGCAGGCTCAAGATCACATCGACACCAACATCAATCAAGTACAAACAAAACTACTCAACTCATCGGCCCTGTTGGAACAATTCTACAATGAAATGAATCAAAGCTATACCAAATTCAATGAAGGTCTAGAGATTTTCAATAAATTCAACAACATTCTAATGACCAATTCCGAATATGTATTGGACACCCAACGTAAAGTGGAATTTGGCACAGTGCAAATTATTCAAAAAATCACCGATCATTTGGAAAAGCAGCGTGATGCTATCTTCGAAGCTTTCAAGGAACGTTTCGATAATGTCGACGAACTCATGATCAGCAATCAATTGGAGACAATGCAAAACTTCTCCTCCCTCATTGAATCGGAAATAACGCAAGTGTGGCATCAAATCTCCATAATGCACGAGGAGATCTTGGACACCAAAGATATACTCAAGGCGGTTGATGCTCGAAATGAGGCCTCAGTAAACAGTACCTACAACAGTGTCAATGCCATGGGCGTAAAGGTGGAAGATGTTAAAATTCGTATGCTCGATATGGATTCGAATTTGAATTATCTATTGGGAAAACTATCGATTATTTCACAAGAATTTATTAACATCAAACAGGGATTGGGCGAGTCTTTGGAAGATTTGCGCAAGACATTCGATGCAATACAAGGTAAAATGCCAGAAATAACTGGCATCAACTCGAATTTGGCCAAATATGAAACTGAATTGAAATTGCTCTCAAAGCGTAATATATTAACATAAATTTATGCGAATGCAAACGAATTGAAATTAAAGCCAAATAAATGTAATTAAAAATATACTTATTTTATGTAGTTCGTAAAAGATGATGATGATGATAATTATTAGTTTATAGTTTATCGCCAGCAATATGTACTACTTACTTGCCAAATGCCGCTTTTAAAATATATTTAATTAATGTAAAACTACTACCACTCTAAATGTCATGTCAAAAGTGAAACGGAAATAAAAATAAAAATGATTTTTCATAAAAAAATGCCGTCGTTTGTGTATCTTTTTATAGCCTACACCACATAGTGGTATTATGTCTTTCTGCATTTGTTTGTAACATGGAGAAGGAAACGAGATTAACCCATAGTTATTTTTGAGGATCTTCATAGAATCACTTTCTGAGTCGATGTCAGTCCATCCGTCCGTCTGTCCCTGTATTCTTGTGAACAAAATACAGATCGCATTTATTATCCAATTGAGATAAAATTTTCCAAACAATATTGTTTGGCCCAAGGACGAACCCTATTGAAATTGGTGATAATCGGATCAGATTATGATATAGCTTCCATTTATATCTTCAGCCGATTTCAGGTTAATTGTGCACCAAATGGCCATTTTGAATATCCTGAATTTTGGTACATTCGACCGAATTCAGTCTAGAAGCAACTTCATGAAATTTGGTGAAGATCGGTTCAGACAAAGCTATAGATCCCAGATATATGGGATATATATGTTTCATCCGATTTGGTGTTTAAGTCCCCCACATTCGTAATATGCACCCCACAAGAATGATGTTTGGTATCAGCTATCAGATACAGCCCACAAATGCCTCTGCCAAATTTTATCAAGATTGGTTCAGATTTGGATATAGCTCCCATTTATATTTTCAACCGATTTCGGGTTTATTGTGCTTGATGCATAATATCAGTCCAAATTACCTGAATTTTGGTACATCCGACCGAATTTAGCCTAGAAGCAACTACATCAAATTTAGTGAAAATCGGGAGCTATACAGGGTGAGATAAAAAAAAAACTGCAACAAAGTCAAATGCCATAATTTTTAGATTTTTTTTAAAATTTTTTTGAATGAAAGCAAAAAATGTCGGAAATAGCATCAAGATTTAGAAAAAAAACTTTGGCAAGAATTATGTCCTTATTTTGGCCTATTCCCGGCGAAGCGCGTGCATGAGGTGATCGACACTTTGGTATTTTTTAGTTTTAGTCCAACGGATTGATATCCGGATATTTTGGTGACCATTGTGCGCTGGAAATGAAGCGGATTCTCGTTTTGTAACCATTCTTGGGTACACCCTCTAGAATATTTTGGCGATAATATTCGGCATTTATTCTGAGCCCCATATAACGGTACCTCCCGATTTTGTTATTTTGATGATTTTCGCACATTTTTTTACGGATTTGTCTACAAATTGGTATTTGTTGGTCATAATGGGTTCTAGCTCCAGTGGCGAAACATTGCCCATATGACGGTACCTCCCGATATTCGGTATTTTGATGACTTTTGACACATTTCTTCGCGTCTAAAAATTCGTGTCCTAATGGGTTCTAGCTCCGTTGACGAAACATTGTATGTATAGGTTCACGTTTTTGTATAGCCCTTATAGCGATACCTCCCGATATTCGAGATTTTATTGATTTTTGCCATATTTTCCCACGAATGTGTCTAAAAATTGATATTTGTGGGTCATAATGGGTTCTAATGTTTCCTTTACCCTAAGGTGGAGGGTATTAAAAGTTCGGTCCGGTCGAACTTAATTGTTTTTACTTGTTTCATCTCACCCTGTATATTTTGGGTTTTTGTAGTGCATGTTTTTTTGTGAGTGTGAGTGACGAACACAATTGTTTTTGTAACGAAAAAATACAAACAAAAAATGTCAGAAAGAAACGATAGGGGTAGGACCTTTGAACAGAATTTGGCCCCTTGTTACAGAACCACACCAAATTGTATGCGTATGATAGAGAATTAACATATGAACTATTTTAATACATCAAGATTTTGCTGGCGCACCTTGCTGGTCCATATTCTTCAAATGTTGTCTCGACTATTTTTAATTTTATTTTATAATTTTTGATAAATTTTGAATTTATTGGGGTTGCCACAACCAGCACAACTCCTAATGGAATTAAATAAAAAATTCAAAAAATAATGGTTATGGAAGCACTGTCATATCAAAGCTTTTCGAGAATGAACGAGAGCTTTCAAAATATTTATAAATACCCAAATTAAAACGAATACGTTTGAACACAAACGATTCGAGTGAAAGCAACTTTTTTTTACAAAACTAGACTTTTAATGGTGTTTTAATAAAATTGGTTTACAAAAACGTTCTAAACAAAAAGGCTTTTTAATTTCTTTCAAACTCAAGTGTATATATTTTGTCTTATTAAACAGTTTCTTCTTTTTTATTATTATTACATATGTACATAAGTATAACTTAATTCAACTCTTGTTTGTTTTTAAATGGTAGAGTATATCGCACATAATTCCATTTTTTCTTTTTCTTTTCGTTTGGATGAACTTAAGTAATAACGCATGTTTTTTCTCTAACACAACATTGCTTACATCATTGTTTCTTGTTAATTTTCAATTACATTACATTTGGCTAGAAATGTTTTTAATTTCATTAAAAAAAAACACCTTCATCTTAACAAAAGTTATCAACTAACATTAACTCACAAATGCCGACTTATAATATAAATATATAAACGAAAATGTAATAGAACCAAAACAATAAAATGATTACTGTAAATATATAAATTAAACTGTGTTGTGTTTCAAATGTGTTGTATAAATTACAATAGTATTACAAACATACATTGCCTCAATAAGCAGAATATGACTAAACTTTAAAACACATTGTTTGTTTTATAAATAATATTAGACTCCAACTTAAATCTAACAATGTCTCTACATTAGGAAACTATTTACCCCATCTTTGTTCGCAACGTGAATATTTATAAAGTATTGTGGCAAAGGATTCAGCATCAAAATATTTTCCCCTAGGATAACGTTGAAATTCTGTGAACCTGGTGTGCCACGGCAATGTTCCATAGGTACATAGCGTTTCACTAAATACTATACTTAATTCAGGCTCACTTACAGCCTGCAAATGGTGTTGAAGGTCTGTGTCTATGCGTTTGGTGAGCTGAGGTCTTTGTTGCAGCAGTTGTTGAATTTCGCTGGTGTGTCTTTCACGGAATAAATTACGGCATACATCTGCTATCAGGGAATGGTTGTCTTTAGGTTGGATTTGATAGATCTGTAAAAATAGAAGAAAATTAAAAACATTTTTCAAAATATATATAATTTATTATTTGAAAATCTTTTACAATATAAAAAAGTTTTTATTTTGTTTATTATTCTTTGTTATGATACATATCTTTAGATGCCAAAGTTGTTTACCAGCCAACAGGTTTTGGTAAAATTATTCACCAAAAAAAAGAACCTGATAACAATTATTCCAACAAAAGAAATCAATTGCTGGTAACAACAAACTTGTGTTCAAGTACACGCCGTTTAAAGGTTGCCTTTTCTTTTAAAATCTAAATTAAAATCGCTGATAAACACAAAAACAACAACAAATACTTGTTGTTTAGAACGGAACTGGATTTAATTATTAAACTTTGCGCACCAATAAATACAAATCAGTGTAGATAAAGAAATGCAATTTTTAGAACTTGTTTAAATGGCTTGATTTCTGAATTTTTCCAAAGAAATTATTCACTTGAAGTTATGAAATATAATTTTGACTCACCATTAATGATGAACAACTTTCATTTGTGGAACCGTTTGTTGTTGCTATATGACCATTGGTAGTAGTCGCCTTGGAACATCCATTTGACAACGGGGTGGGAACACAGCCATTCGAACGGTTAACACCATTTGATAATTCACTTTTAGCACTATACCACAAAGCTCGATGATCATCCAGATTTTTACTTTTCCAGCCACTTGGACACTTCACCTTACACAAATCTATGACTCTCGTATTGCTTTCAGCCTTTTGCCCCAATAAACGGGTATCATAAAAACTAACACATTCTATATTCATATAGAGAGCATAGGTAAACAGACGCGACAACAGCTCCTCATTTACCTCGCCATGGATTTCAGGTCCAATTATTAGATTTAAATGTTTTGGAATTTTACTCAGCTGCCGTTTACAGTGTATTAAGAAATCATGCTCCTTTTGTTGTCGTTTTGTTTGCGTTTGACACAGATCATATGACCATAAAGCAAACGCAATTATTCGTAAGCGCACCCACAAACAAACTTCATAGAGAGAAAATAGAAAGTGCAGTATTTGCCACAGGCATCGACAAATTCGCTTCACCAAAATTTCCATTATAAATATATTTTTGATGCGTTCACGTTTAACGGGGGGAATGACGACGACGACGACTCTAATAACAAATTACATGTTCCATGCAGGTTTTCTTATCTTGGGACCGTGTCTCGGCGCTTATCTTTTCCCCTCGAACTTGGTTTGTCTGTTAACCTAATTGATGAGAAAGTTATGAATTATTTTCGAAGCCACTTGCAACTGGTACTGCCTTACCTCAATGGAAATTCTCTAATACATTTAATTAGACAATTTCTATGACGAAATTTTAATCATGGTTTTTAATTTTTACAAAAATCATTCTACTTGGCCGGTGAAGAGATATGGACAACAAGTACTGACAGCTGAGAACACGTCAGTTTTTGACAACCACTACCATAGTACAAGAATACAGGTAGATGCATCGGCAATTGTTCTGTTATTATATTAAAAATTTTTGCTCTATTCCCAAACTGTAATTTTGCTGTATGGAGTCAAAAAATCACAAAACTAGTAGATTCTTGTAGGTTCTGGCGCAAGGCATATATAAATTCATGTTGAAATTATTATAATGAGTTTTCAAAGAATGTTTTACACTTTATAATGTCGAAAGACATTTTTTTACTTTTCATTGTGACTTCCAGTATTGCTGTACCTTGTAATAGCTATTCGATTATCGTGATTTACAAACAGAAATCGAATATATCGTTGAACAATCGATTAATAATGCCATGTTCTTACGATCAAAGTGAACATACTTGTCTTGGTCCTAATTTAAATTAGTCATTTTCTGCGGCTGAAATCCTCTGTTTGTAGGACAAAGAGAGGTAAGGGGAAGGGAAATGGAAACACGTACTGGCAGTAAACTCGCCTAGTATAAACCAGGACTTGTTTTATACCAAAATTGTATTTTACCACCTCATAAATTTTGGGACGAACGTGTTCCCTACTGCTATTTTTCAAAAATAGTTAATGCTAACAATTTTTGACTTTAAAAACAAATACACAATAAATTCGAATCGAATTCGAGTCACGATTAAAGTTTTGATCTGTTTTACCCTTTATGTGCAGTGAAAACATTAATTGTGAAAAAAATAAAAATTACCAAAGCCAATTGTAGCATATTTAAAAGTCTGTTTGACAATACAAGACTCCAGCACAGAGTTGCATTTTTCTAGTTTCTTTGAAGTTGAACAACCTATCTTTCTAAGCCATTTAAAGTTGTATCTAAACACACAATATATGTATACATAAAACTCTTTTTTGACTGGCTTAAGCCATCGGCTGGCTTCTTCGGAAAAGATCAAAGGAGCGCAGGGCTAAAAGCAAACTAAGTCAAATTAAAACTCTTTTCTTCTTTTAAGAAGAATACAGCCTATACTCTAATTTTTAAGGCTAAACAAAGCTTCGATTATGAATTCGTCATGGAAATACACTGTTTGATTTTTTGGCTAAAAGAAACGTGAGAATACAACTCTGCTGTCAGCAACAGGTTCAATTTATTTGATTAGTTTTAGCCTTTATGAATTTTTATACTAAAAACACTCATCTGTGGTTGCATTAGTGTGACTTGGCAACCCATGTGGATGAATCAGCCAGCAACTCGATAACGATTTAAACTGGTTTACTTATCGATAAGTCTGAAGTCGACTTGTACATCCCTAATCAGCATATTTTCTCAGTTGCATTTTTTTCTATCATCGATCCACAAGAATATAGAAAAGTGTTGTTTTTGATACGTATTAAATTAAATTGGAAAGACCGGTGAGTTATTTTGATTTCTTTTAATTATATTACAACAAAATATTAACCGAATACTGAAGAATGGTGCAGTGAAAAAGATTGAAGATGGATTTAAATGAAATCTGAAAATAGATTGGAAGCAAATAGAAACGAAAAGCCGGCTATATTGATGTGTGTTGTATCGATGCAAGCTGCGCGGGGGTTGGTGGGTTGCCTCTTAACGGGAAGGTAATATCTTTTGCAGTGAATTTATTAATGGGTGGTGGCTGGTGATTTGATTTTGCACAATCTATTTGAATGACAAATATTTTTAGATATTAAGCAGAAGAAATGAAAGTGTAATGTACTTCAAAGAGGCGAAAATATATAAAAATTTGCTTAAATTGTCCAACCCACCAACCGGCTGTGTATCTATTGTGACAAAAATGGGTAAAATTTGCAAAAATAAATGATGATGGGAAAATCGAAAAAAATATAGAGGAAATGAAATCGTTAACCAACGTAGGCGTTGTTGCTTTGCAGATGAAAATTGAAAATTATGTTGAATCCGTAGCTTTTGTCGTTGCCCCCATCACATCTCCATGTTGATATATTTCTTGGGCGCATATACACAGATACGTACGTAAATAATACATGCTTAGGTGGGTACTATGTTTGTATTTTTGTGTATATGGGCCAGCTGTTGTTGTGCTTCTTTCGGAATAGAAAACAGAAGAAATACTTGTACCATGTCGACGTGGTTGTTGTTGTTGTTCTGTTGTGGTATTATTTGCAAGGTACATATAACAATTTTTTTGCCATGTATCTCCATTATTTATTTCTTCAGTTTGCCCTTAGATTTCCCTGCCACCGTTCACACACTAAACATAAACACATCTTTCTCTCGATGCTGCTTAGGTTAATGATCATTACATGCAGCGTTTTCTAGTTCAATGCCGATGATGACGATGCCCAAACAGCAATAATGATGATGACGATGGTGGTGGTGGTGGTTATGATGATGTGAAAATATAGTTGTTGCTTGGTTATTGTTTGTTTATATCTTGTTGTGACTTGACTTGCAATGCTGGCTGGCTGGCTGGCTGGTTGTTGTTGCTGTTTAATTTATACTCACTACTGGTCGGGACGAACCTTCAGCTGTGACTCATTCCATGGTATTTTATTAATCGGAAACCTCATATCTTTTAACCAGTAGAATGAGATAATTTCTTATAGAAATTCATACATAATAATTTCGAAATGCTGAGCGATACATTTTTGTGGTCATTTTTAGATAGAGGGCTTGACGTATTGCAAGATTTGATCGAAATTTTCCAAAATTATAATGTGGCAAAGCAAAATGCCAATTTGTTTGCTTTAAACTAGTATTGGAATTGCAAATGTGATTTCATCCGGGTCTAATTATGATCCTACAAAAATATTTAGAATCTATTTAGTAGTTATTAAGATACGCTTCAAGCCAATAAAGTCTCTTTGGGTGAAACCTTATACGGCAAAGTAAGACTTAAAGGCCACCCCGATCAATTGCAATACCAAGACACTTCATCTCTTTCACAAGATGCACAATTAATGGAACCGCCAGTGCTATGGTATTTGAACAGCAGGCCAATTAATTCATCTAGCCTAGCAATTAATTCATCTGCATACTAAAACAGACAGATCCTGTTATCAACAACTGAGTGCATGATGTCATTAGTAAATATAATAAATAACATAAGGCCCAAGACAAAACTTTTCAGAACCCTACATTGGAAGCTACAAATGCCACACGAAACATTCAAATGAACTACAAACTGTTACCTGCCTTCCAAACTGATACCAACTTCCATTCAGATGTTGAAAATCCAGACAGGTACTACATGAGCAAGCTTCCACGTCCCGGAAGAAGTAGATATCATAAATCATTGTGCGCTGGAAATGCAGCGAGGAACCTCATTTTGTAACCATTCTTGGGTGGCGCGAGCTGAGTGCGATGGCGCGGAGTCCGGTTGGAATGTCTTGGGTCTGCGACCAAAATGTTTGCGTGCCCGAGGCTTTAATAGACCCTCCAGAATATTTTCGCGATAATTTTTGGAATTTATTCTGATGCCACGGTCAATTAATACGAGCGGAGAGCGACCATCGGCTGTAATGGCAGCCCACACCATCACCATGGCCGGCGCTTGAGTTCTGATGGCCAACCGAAGGTGCACATTTTCAGCTGTCCTCTTTGGCAAGTAAACGCGATCATTTTGTTTGTTTACAAACTGATGAACAACGAATGTTTTCTCATCAGAGACGGCAGTTCACCACATTCGGCCAAGCGAAGCACCTCTTTAGCTCTTTTGAGTATATTTTCTTTCTGTTGCGGTGTAAGCTCTTGCACTTTTTGGAATTTCAATGGCTATACCCTGAGCTCATTTTTCAATATTTGCCGAATGGAATATTGCGATATGTTCAGCTCACGAGCCTTTTTTCGGCACAGTGGGACGTGGGCTTCGATCAAGTCGCTTCTTTACTTTTCGAACCATTTCTGCCGATGTCGCTGTTTTTTTTTTCGTCCACTTCCCTGACATCGGGGTACGCTACTACCAGTATCACGGTAACGAGCGATGGTACGAGGCACAAAAGATTTATTCACATTTAAATGCTGGAGAGCTCTAACGATTGCCACTTGCGGTTTTCCAGCCAAGTATAAAGAAATCACACTATCACGCTTGAATTCCATCCCGAATAACTTTTTTTCTGGAAAATTCTCACCAAAATGATTTTGCACGCTTTTAAACAATATAATGAGCTGTCACTGGATTAATTTTAACAGCTGTCGGACGAGTGGCTTAGAAATGACAGCAGTCTGAAGTTGGTTGCAGGTTTTTCATTTCACCCTGCATGCATATGATGGTTAGTCATATGTAGACAGATTTTTCATATATATGTTACATTTTTATAGCATACTTTGGGGAGCTACAAAAAAATTATAAACTTGAAAGTATAATATACATTTTACAATAAATACACTTGCATTTTTTATGATCTGCACATGTTGTATATATTTATATACACTACAGAAAGCTTTTCTTTTTAGATTCGAAATTCTGAATAGCGACGAAAAGTAAGCCATTAAATGCTACTGATAATTGTGGAAAAATTCACTTTACATATAACTCTAAGATCATGTGTGATCTAGCCTTTACCATTGTTTTTCGTTTCGTATTAATTCTTCAAAATATTGAACTCTTTGTTATATTTCCATCTAAAAAATGAATCGAGATTTCTTTGCTTACAACATTGCTTCGAAACCAATACAATTGCATGCATATTTTTCAAATCTCATAATTTTCTATTTTTGGCAGAAAATAAAACAAACAAAAACTAAAATAATAATTGTCTGGATAATGGACAAGATCTATCTGCTGCTTTGCTCTTGTTGCCATGGTCTTATGCTGGCCGCAAAAAAAATCACTTATTTCTTCAACCATACAATAGAAACCCCGCCCCACACCCCTCACAATTTGTTGTATCGTTGAGTGTTAGCTGGTGAATCTTTTCAAGTGCGAAAAGATATTTTTTGGGCGATGGTTATGCTTATCTTCTTGTTAAAACGGAATAAGAGAACCCGGGTGAGAGAGGAGAAAATCTTCCCCCTGGTTTCACTCCAATTGTAAAATTGTTA